GGCGGCGCAACGCTAGTGTCGGAGCCATCAATTGAGTATTGGATTGAATTTGATTCCGGAGAGAAAAACGGAAGCGATTTGTGTGTGGAATTCGGGGACAGAGACGAAATGGGTTCAACTGTGAAAGTCTGAATGAGGAAGAAGCGGTTTTATAAACCCGGATTTGGGGTGTCCAGGTTCAATGTATTTGGCGACCGAGGATATGTATTGCGAGTATGGGAATAAAAGGGGGGCTGTTCCGTCATTTCGGCAAGCTTTCGTTAAATGACACGGAGTATTTTCTGCGCGTACAAGGCCGTTTTTTTTTTTATTCCCCACGCCAATGGGGTTGGATTAACGTCATCGCATACGAGTATACGACCATTAACGGCCCCTTCATATATTTCTAGATTTTTGACCTTTTCCAAAAAACAAAGTGATAATGAGTAATGACCTTACCTTACCTATATGGTTTACTTTTGGGTGCATGATAATAAATGGCTCAAGTCATCTTTCTATTCAATTTTAAACTTTTTCCATTTTTAATTTTGGTTTTTTATTTCACTTTTAGATTGTTTCACCAACCCCTCCCTAAATAGAGCAATATCATGAGAGACACGTAAAGGAATGTTTTATTGGCATGAAGCGAGAGTACTCGACATGAAAGGGAGTAGACTATGTGATGATCTTCTATATGTTGATTTGTCGTGAGGTTGAATGAACTAGCCCCTTCTGTCGTTGTTGAGGTGCCCCACAAAAATCTCAAGCTGCTAATCTGATCTCATTGGCGAGCCCTGAATTAGGCGACTCTATGAAAAAATCTTCGGCTGAAGGTCGAAAATCAGAGATCATCATAGACGGTCTTGGGCCCGAGGGGCCATGTGTATGCACTTTCTGGTTACTATGGAAACTGAACTTTGCCTATAATGTGATGGTTCGGTCGGTGCATGCGACAACCTTTGTAAATTTTTGAATCTTTGTGCTAATGATGAATAAAATAGTGCGATTATTAAGTTCACTCTATTTACACTTGTAAATAACAATTTGTTGAGGTTTATTCCTCACTAAAATATATTACAATCGGGTCAAAGCCAGGCTTCAACCAATGATCGGGATTGGCCGGTCCGGGACTGGACTGGGACGACCGATTCAATCCCTAGATGGAGCTAGTATGCTAGTTTGTATTTTATTAATAAACCGTATGGGATGTTTAATCTCACACAAAGTTATTGCTTGTTTAAAATCATTGTATTTTGAAGTTGTTGAGGAATGTAACATGTATACCCCATATTTGATATATCATCAAGACTTCGTTTTGCCTTATAAGGGGATATTCACGTCTCTAGTTTGACTTTTTGTGAGGAATAGAAGTCATTTCTAAATGGGGAACAACCTACATGCGGTGAAAAGTCTTGGTCTCGCGAAAGCTCGAGCCATAGCCGATAGGTGTGTACATTCACACCTCTTTCATTCTTTGTCAAAGCTTATTCGAGAAAAAGCCCAAAAAGGTTACTTGAAGATTTATTAGCATGCTATGAACTAATTTTATCCGAGGAGGCGAGGACATGACTTTTAGAGCAAGGACATCAAATTTGGAGTCCATTTGAAAGCATTAAAATTACCGATGAAAATCTATTTCAATTTAATACTACCTCCGGTTTTATTTAATCTTCACAATTTGACTTCACACAAAATAAGGAAAGAAATTTGACTTTACTGTAGAATACACTGTTGAGGCACTGTTTGACACTGTTTGGCACTGTAGAGATACTGTTTGGCACTGTTGAGACACTGTTTGGCACTGTTTGACACTGTTCTGATGTAGATTTCTTTGCCAAAAAGGAAATAAGGAAGTGTGAAGTTTATTTTAGACCGTCTCAAAAAGGAAAGTGTGAAGTTTATTAAAAACCGGAGGGAGTAGGTGCTTTTAGAGCAAGAAAATCAAATTTGGAGTCCATTTGAAAGCATTAAAATTACCGATGAAAATCTATTTCAATTTAATAGGTGCTTTTAGAGCAAGAACATCAAATTTGGAGTCCATTTGAAAGCATTAAAATTACCCATGAGAATCTATTTCAATTTAATAGGTGATGTTATGAACTTATGATTGAAATGACTGAATATGATGAATGTGTTAATTATGAAAAAGTCATATCCAAGTTAGGGGTGAGCATGATGCGGGACGGAACGAGACTTGAGTATTCTCGGTATCTGTGCCGATTTAGACTAACGATTCAGAACATGATATGATAAAACATTGTCCTGTTTTTAACCAGTACCGAAACAAATCGGAATGATTCAGACATCTTGAAAAAATGCAGAAAAAAAATACACATCCTAGTTCAGATGATCGTTTATACTAGGGGTGGGCATAACGGTTTGGTTTAACCGAACCGAACCGTACCAAACCGAACTAAACCGAACCGAAACCGGACCGTATGTAATTTGGTTTGAGTTTGGTACTATTTCTTCCAAACCAAACCGAAACCGATAAAAACCGAACAAAACCGATCCGAACTAAAGAAACTCAAAAAAGCTTTCATATATTATTAAAATTGGTGGTTTGGTTTGGGTTTACTTAAGTAAATTTAACCGTTTGGTAAACATTTGCTCAAATCGAATGATTTGGTACTTTGGTTTGGTTTGGTTTAAAACGGAAAAACCGTAAACCGAACTGAACACCGAACGACATGCATATATATACTTTGTATTTATCTTCACTCTTCATTTTTAAGATATAAATAAATAATTTAGACATGAAAATACATATTAATTTAAGTATATACTCGTATCATTTTAACTTTTACGCTTTCATACATTCATTATGACAAAGTTAGCTAATACGACATATTTGTATATACTATCGTATTATGTTTGGCGATAACAATAGCAAATTGCATTTATATTTTTACATGATTCATTTGAATAAAATTGTGAATATTACAACATTTGTACCACCGACTTTTTTAGGTTTTTTTGAATATTTTATGTGATATTATAAATACTAATCAACTATCTTATTTTTTGTAAGAAGTGAATTTTTTGTAGTGATAAAAAAGATGTTGGAAGTTTTAATTTATAATATTTTATTATTTATTTTTCTATCTTGTATTTCCTTTTACATTTTATTTAAATAATCAATAAATTTAAAAAGATGGGATGGACTACTACTTTCATTTTCTAATTCTAAAATATAAAACTTGATCAAATAAAATAAACATAAGCAAACGAATCAAATCAAACTAAATTAAACATAATATTTTTTTACTTTGGTAAACTGAACTCAAACCGAACCGAAACCGAACCAAAACTAAATCGAAACACAAATGGTTTTAGTTTGGTACAAATTCTCCCAATCCGTATAAACCGAAACCGAACCGAAACCGAAGAAAATCGAACCGTAAACTGAATTGCCCACCCCTAGTTTAACAATGACGTTGTGTGAGAGATTCTTCGGTATCCTGCTATCGGTAAATCAGCATGAGAGACCTAGAGAAATTTTGAGAACTAAAACTTTACTAAAATTCGGACTCATTTGATGATAGATTGAAGATTTTGTAATACGTTTAGAGGTATTTAGGTCTTGGGAATATTAGAATAAAAGCTACCTAATAAATGAGATCCGTGTAGGGGATAGAAATTTTTTGTAACACTTATCAAGTTGCGTTTAGTAGTTAGAATTTGGGATACGAAAATAAAAATACTACGGAGTACTTTTATTTGAAAACGAGACAACAGAACGAATATGGACACAGTTTGAGATTGGTTCAACATAAAAAATATGGACCAGACGGGACCGGGTCATTCTAGAAAGGACCAACGGGATTTATGCACCCCTGATCTAATTTATACGCTCTCATATCTTAGATTTTATCACTTTCCCTTTTATTGTCTATTTTTTTATAATTTTTCATTTCAAGTAATTAACTTGTGATTCTTTCTTTTTCTCTCTTCTCTACACAAATTTAAAACATACTGTTTTTATAAGTTATAAGAGACTAAGCACGTACTTTATCTTTATTTAGAGAACAAAGAATAAATAGATACAAAATAATTATTTTTTAGCAAATTCAATTAGGTAAGGGATTGCGTCATTACTTATTTTGATATTGATTGTTACACCATATAACAAGACATAAAATAAAAAGTGATTGTTTGATAAAAGTGATGTAGGTAACGCTGGAAAAATAGATCACAAAATGGGCTTTAACACGATTGAAGAGTGAAGAGTGATTTTAAGGAGGTACATTACTGAATCATATCGTTTATTATGACACCATCACACAATTGTTTTGTGATAAATGCAACTAAGAATGTTTTTACTCGTTTTCAATCCAAATCATAATAAATGAGACTTAAATAAACCAGACCAAACAAGAACATACCCGACTTTAATAAATCAGACCAAACAAGACTTAAATAGATCAGATCAGATCAAATTTGACTTTCTTAGTTATAAAATACACATAGACAAGACGTTTACAAGACAAAACCAAATCAGTTCAAACCAGATTGAAACAAACGAAACATGACCAGACTTAAACAGACCAGACTAGATCAACCAATTACCGTCCAAGTAAAAACATCGTAAATAATTGTTGCCACTCGTTTTATAATCAAAATAAAACATATGGTTCCATAAAATTTTCCGAGATTAATTTTATATCTTAAACAGTTCCATGATTATCTTGTCCAGATCTCCAATAATCACGGAATATGTATGTCTATTCGAACTTGTTTGGACGAGCTGAATTAATTAAGGATGTTTTCTTTTGGACTGTTTTCAGTCCCAGACCAGACCAGACCAGACTTAAACAAATCAGACCAGACCAGACCAGACTTAAACAGACCAGACCAGACCAGACTTAAACAGACCAGACCAGACTTCCGTAGTTATAAAATACACAGAGACCAGACGTTTATCAGACCAGACCAGACCAGTTCAGACCAGACTTAAACAGACCAGACCAGACTTAAACAGACCAGACCAAACCAGACCAGCAAAATTTCAGTCCAAAAGAAAACATCCTAAGAGAAGAGAACTAAGATTACAGAACATACATATAAACGGTATTTTTATTAGTAATTACACAGTTACACAACAAGAGTACAGATTAAGAAACTTCCATATTTCACACTTCCATCAATCAGATCAGAACTCAATTAATTAATCACATCCTAATCATCTAACAATTAAGGGGAACAGAAGGCGCGGGAGAGATTAGCTTGGTGGCAGCAGAAAGCTGATCCATCAACGACATAACACGCGCCCTGTACGCACGCGCCTGGTCCACCGCCTCCGCTTCCAGCTCGCCGAGCTGAGAGCTCAGCCGCTCCTCCGCCTCCTCCGCCACCCTCAACCTCTGCCACGTCCTCTCTAACTCTCTCCTCATCTTCTCCTCTCGTTCCCGGCTACTCTTCAACTCCTTCTCCATCTCCTCGTATCTCTTTCTCAGCTCCTCCGTCATCTCCGGCGTCGATTCCCGGCGGCGCAACGCTAGTGTTGGAGCCATCAATTGGCTATTAGATTGAATTTAATTATGGAAAGGAAAATGGAAACGATTTGTGTGTGGAATCCGGGGACAAGGAGAAATGGAGATGAAATTGCTTAACTGTGAAAGCCTCAATGGGGAAGAAGGGGTTTTATAAAACCGGATTTCGTGTGTCCAGGTTCAATGTATTTGGCGACTTGAGATATGTATTGCGAGTACATGGGAATCAAAAGGGGGCTGTTTGGTCATTTCGGCTAGCTTTCGTTGAATGATATTTTCTGCGCGTACAAAGCCGTTTTATTACCTACACTAATCGGGTTGGATTAACGTCACTGCGTACGACCATTAACGGCCCCTTAATATTTCTAGATTTTTGACCTTTTCCAAAAAATAAAATTTTATAGGGAAAGTTTCCGAAATAGGACTAAAACAGTTTGAAAATTTCAAAATAGGACTGCCATGTTTTTTATTCCCAAAATAGGAGTAATTACTGCCAAGTTTGGAAAATACTGTCATGTTTGAAGTCTGGTACTGCGAAAACATGGCAGCAATTAGTCTTATTTTAGAAATAAAAATATGTCAGTCCTATTTTAGAATTTCCAAACTTTTTTAATCCTATTTAGGGTAAATTCTCAATTTTATATACTCTTTCTGTTCTCTAATACTTATTTCTCTTTCCATTTCAGGATGTTCTCTAATAGTTGTTTTCCTTTTCGTTTTTAGATAGTTTTTATTAAAAATACCTCTATACTCTCATTCTCTTTTTTACTTTTTTATTCTCTTTCCTACTTTTTCATTTAAACCAACTCACTACAGCTTTTACAATATTCCTATTATTTTCCTTTTAAAATTTGTGTCAAACCTATAGGGACATCTAATAGAGAATAGTGGGAGTATAATAAAACTAAATATTACTCGTCCGTCTGTACATTCAAGTATTCACAAGAGTCCGTTTGATTACATGATAATCATATATTGCTTCAAAATATTATACCCGTTCATAAACAAATGCAATCGTTCTTTTTTCACATTTGTCCATTACTTTGATTATTACTTTGTCAATAACTAGTATCTGCACTTGTAACGTGCACGATATAGAATGATTTTCCTTTTTAGTTATATTAACAAAAATTAAAATTACTTATTTAGTCTATTAAAACATTGGTTTGTAATGTATATTCCACTGTAGCTATAGTCCTCATATACCAACGGTAATTGACCGTTGGCATAGGATATCGTTAAATGACAATTTGTTTGTACTATCTTATTTTTGAACTAATTATCTAAACATGTTTCTGGTCTATATTTTTTGAAGTAACGAAAAGAGAATTTTTTTTATAACCCAATTGCATCCAAATGAATTAATCTTTTCAGCTTTAACGAAACAAAAAAGAATATAATGTTTAATGCATACTTTTATGCATTAAATTTCATCTGTAGCTTACTGTTTTTTCAAAACTAACTATACATTTTTTTAATTTATTTATCTAAAAATGGAGGGTCATTTTTAGAAGATATTAGCCCTTCTAGATTTTAGAATTTTGTAAAGTAGTCCTTCGACCCCTTCCTTAAAGAAAAGAGTTTAAACTATATAATTTTGTTATATTCTTATTTTAATGAGGGTGATGGCGGAAACAATAGGCTGTCTATTGTGATTGGTAATCATCGATTTATTTTTCAATAGGTTGAGTTGTTGAGTTATTGAGGGCAATATGATCGTATGAAGTAAAATAAGTATTATTGAACTAAACATATACTACCTCTGTGTTTTAATTCTTGCAATATTGTGATTTTTGTACTATTCGCAGACAATACTTTGACCACAATTTTCTACTAATATATAATCAAATTTCTAAGTATAAAATGTTATGGAATTCCCATTAATGTGAAATTCCAAAATATCAATTTTTTTATAATGTTTAGTAATTCTTAATTAAATATAGTTATAATCAAAGTTGTGCATTAACAATTGTGAAAGTCAAACTATTGCAAAAATTAAAGAACAGAGGATAGTAATTCTTAATGCGCCCCTACGATTACTAAAACTAACAAATTTAGGACAAATTTATCCTTTTAACTTTCTTTTACTAAAATGTTTCTCATCATGTTCTAGCGAGTTTTTTTCCAAAAGTATGCTAGATAAAAAATATTTACAAAATCATGACTGATTTAAAAATATTTCCCAAAATACTGCTAACTCTGATTAACTAAAGCCACAACTGAGTTGGCAAGTTTCTAAAAGAATTGCAAGTTTCTCACGAACTAGCTAGGGGGCTTCAAGGTGAAAATCACTTTTTATAAACTCTTTGTTTTTAGAATTGATATAACCTTTTTTTATTTGAATCCGATTTAATAAAAATATATCAAAATTCACGACTTTCTATTATTTTTCATATGACACGCAAATTGAATACGTAAAAATAAAGATATTTTTGAATAAAGTGACATCACGTTCTAAAATATTTATTTAAAAACAACTCAAATCAAATCAATAAAAATCCCCAATTAACCACTTTAATTTTTCTCTTGAAAATGAGAAAACCCGGGGGCACTAGCAAGTTAGGAGAAATGACAAAATACAAAGGACGCTAAAAGAATTCTCTTTTTTAAAATTGCTATAACTTATTTTATTTATGATCCCGATTTTAGAAAAATATGTATCAAAATTCATAAATTATTATTGTCTTTCAAATGACACCAATATTGCATATATATAAATAAAATAAAACTTTAACGATACGGTTGATGGAGGTTTTGAGACACAAAATTTTTCTTCAAAAAATCCAAGTTCTAAAATTAAGTGGATCACAATTGTTTTCTATTGACTTTTTAGGAAATAAATAAAGTGCCTTCATTAACTGTATATTCAGATTTATTTTATTTTTATACATATAATATTGGCGTCATACGAAAGATAATAATCAATTATGAATTTTGATACTTATTTTATAAAGATACAATTATAAATAGAAAAGGTTATAGCAATTTTAGAAAAGTTTTTTTAAAGATGAGGGTCCCAAACATGCTAACTTCTGATTTCTCTTGGCTTGCTAGCGTCCTTTATGTTTTCTGATTTTTAATAAGGTTTTAATTGGGATGTTTTGTTGATTTCAATTTGTGTTATCTCTAAGAGTTAATTCCCTATATAGGACAAAAAAGTGAGCCAAAAGCAAAAATAGGATTACATGTTTTCTTCTTCTATCTAGTAGGACTATTTTATGTGTATTTGGACAAATATGACCTTGACGCTTTTGAAAGGTCTTAATTAATTAATATATTCATAAAAAAAACATTAAAAATAGTTAAAGAAAACGTCAAAAATTATTAAAAAAATCGCAAAATATTTATAAAAAAAATTTGGAAAAAAAAATTAAAAATTAAAAATCAAAATTAGCAAATGCAAAAAAACGCCGCCGCCTCAGTCACCCCAGCACCACCACCTCCCATTACCGATTGAAAATCTGCCAAAATTTGTTGTAATGCCATAATAATGGCAGAACCAATGATAATTTTGGCATTGTGATAAGTGAAAATTCCACTTTCTTGGCATTTTCATAAAACAATGACATTTTTTAAAAAATAATGGCAGAATCTATACCAATCGGATTAATCCATTTTTATAATGGATTTTTACTATTTTGTATTAATTTTTTAAAAAAATAAAAAAAGAAAGCTGCCAACAATTCTAGTAATGCCATAATAATGTCAGATTCAATGAGATTTTTGGCATTATGAAGAGTAATTATGTCATTTTCTTGGCATTTTCAGGAAAAAATGGATTTTTTTTAATAAAAAGTGGCATAATTTTTACTGATTGAAGGTGGTGGGTCTGGGAGGCGGTGGGAAAGGTTTCCATATTTTTATAATTTTTTATTGATTTTTTTTAACTATTTTTAATAATTTTTAAAAAAAATAAAAAAAATATTTTTTAATTTTATTATTTTAAAAATATTCTTTTTTCTTATTTTTGTACGACTTTTAAAAAAAATACGATTTTTTTCCATATTTTTTCTTAAGGGAAAACTGTCAATTTGGTCCTCGTACTTTCATTAAAAAGTCAATTAGGTCCTCGTACTTTTAAAAAGATCAATCAAGTCCCCGAACTTTGTAAAAACGTTCAATTGAGTACACATGGTGGTCCATGTCATCAACAAATGGGGGACTAGACTTCCACATGTGTGCCACATCAGCAAAATTATTGATGGTTGGGCTGCCACGTGTGCACCGCGTCAGCGGGTGACCTGATGACATGGCAATTAACCTGCAAATACTCAATCGAACGTTTTTATAAAGTTCATGGATTTGATTGATCTTTTTAAAAGTACGAGGACCTAATTGACGTTTTCATGAAAGTACAGGGACCAAATTGACAGTTTTCCCTTTTCTTAAAAATACTTGCCTTTGAAATAGCTCACTAATAGTCATGTGGCCAAATACTTGCCTTTGAAATAGTTGTAAGTAACTTGATTTTCAGCCCGAATTTATGAAGCCAGCAAGCCAAGAATGGGAAAAGACAGAGTAAATTTTTTAGAACTTCAGCCACTTGCCTACTTCGGAAACACTGCTACAGAGGACTTGTAACCTCCCGCCGACCATAGACGACTGTCGATCGAGTTACTTCCTACGGCTAGTAGCCACTAGCCAGTGTGTGGCTCGCAGAATCGGTCCTCCCGCACGTGAACTTCTACCCTCCTGTGGACTGTGGAAGGTGGATATGCAATTCTGCCTAGCCCTGTCGGCGCTTTCCGCCCTTCTCAGCTTCTGGTACTTCGTACTCGGTACTCAGTAGGACTGGGTTCGGTTCAGGTACCAAACCGATTAAGGTTAACCCGAAACCGAACCAACATTTCGGTTATCCAAATAACCATAACCGAAATCGAACTGTTCAAAAACAGGCACCAATTTTTTGTTTTTTCGGTCTATGTCATTTCTAGTACTTAGGGGGCGGATGACTGTGAGGGTTGGGGTGGACTCCAGCCCAGCCCAGCTCGAAATTAATTTGTTTAGTAATATATGTATGAGGTTTATTATAAGCCCTCCTCAAAACTTATTACCCGCCCACCACAGAATTAATTCCTAGCCTAGCCTACAGCCCAGCCCACCCTTTTCAACTTACCGAAGCTGCGAAGCCTCCTTCACGCGAACTGGCTGAAGCTCGAAGAAGAAGTCTAAGAAGCGGAAGAACGAAGACAGAGCTTCTGAACCGCGCCGTGAGTTGCGACTCTGCCACGCCGAGCCGCCTTCCGCCGTTACGTCGCCCATCCAGCCTCCAGGGCTCTGCATCTTCAGCCATCGTTCCTCTCTGCCGTCCATGGATTCTGGCTCTCAGGCTCTGGGGTCTGCCAGTCTGCCTCCAGCTCTACTCCAGGTGAGTTTTACATATTTTTAATCTATTATTTTGTGATTGTGTTGTTGTGTATTATTATTTTTAGCCTTTTAGAGTTTTAAAGTTAGTGAATCAATTTGACGATTAATTGAATTTTTCAGTATGAATAAAAAAGTGTTTAATTCATTATAAATTTATATGATTAAATATAGAATTAATTAATTAATTGAACATTAGAGAATTGATTTATTTTTTATACAATTGAAGATTAGAGAATGATTTATTTATTTATTTATTGTGTGGGGATGTAATAAAGAATTGACATTTCAATTGAATTTTGAAATTGGGAATACTTATTAGTTTTAGGTGCAACCGTTGTTTGCTGTTTTTTTCTTATTAGTTTTATTATTTTATAGAAGTATTTTAATTCATACCAATATTGAAAATGTTTTATAGAATGGATAATGAGCATATTCCCAAGAAAGGAAATCTTTCTGAAAGTGAATCATCAAAGTGGGGAAGGGAGTTCTGAACTTATACCTACGATAGTGGAAGATTTACTCTATGAGGTTCCTACACAAGCCCAAGTCCTCAATACTTTGAACGAGATTTTATCAATTGTATAGATGTAGATTCTATTATTGATGAATTTTATACTTTGAAGTCACATAAAGCACAATTTAAATGATGTTTTGATGAATATTTAAAGTGTTAACGGCTTAAGGATTATTATGTATGTGTCTTGAATTTTTTTACTCAGCCCACCCCATTGTAACTTTCCGTATCCGCCCCTGCCAGTACTCCTCAATCCTCATCTAGTCATCTCCTTTAATTCGTTTGGTCTTTTATTTATTATTTAAATAGTTTCATTGATTTGATTAATTCATTAGTTTATAGTGTTCGAATAATACAGCTCCAACCAATTTCTAAATATATTAACTAAAAAACTATTGTGTTGAGTTTTTTAGTGAGCATGTACTCTTTCCAGTGTTTTAAATAATACTAAAAATCTACTGAAATTGCTACAATATTGGAATTGAAAGTCAGGAAGTGTATGTGCTAAATATCCTTCATAGAGAATAATGCCCTCACTTTGGCCTGATATTTATAAATTTAATGTGTAAATATATGTCAGGTGGCTGGTGATTATACTGTTGGGACATGCTGCAGGGGTCTACACGTGTGTACAGAATTTTGATGTGGATTAGTACTAATGTAATGAATAGCAATGGGCGCATTTGCAAATAATCTCCGAAGAAGTTCAGGAAACTCCATTTCTTGTTGCAGTATTATCTCGCGTGTTCACTGTAGTTATTAGTTGTAGTACACGTGTCCAGAACTATTACGTGGGGCCTGTGATGTCATAGAGATGAGTTTCTCACAGGGTTTAATGGCTAAACCAAAAGCATCTTTTTTCACAAATAGGTTCCTCTGTCACAACCCTAAACCTATCCAACACTCTAACCCTAGCACAACTATCCGGGATCGCAATCTTAGCATTTTAGGAGTAAACGAGAGTGGCCAAGGGCCTGTTGTATCGGATTCGGATGATAAAAACTCTAACAAGCTTCGTCATTTGAGTGAGATAGCAAAGGATGTTTCAAGAATAATACGAACACGAGCAAGATGGGAGAAAACTCTGTTATCTGATTTTCCAGGCATGATTTTCTCTGATCCTAATTTGTACCGTGAGGTTTTAAAGCAACAGCAGAATTTGATTCTGGCGCTTCGGTTTTACTATTGGCTTAGTTCTCAAAAAGGGTTTTTGCCCGACCCCGTCACCTCTAATGTGATTTTCCGTGAGCTTGTGGAAGCCAAGGCTGGCAGATTGGCTAAGAGTTTCATTGGCAGTATGAAGTTTGTGCCAGACCCTAGTTCTTTGGAGGCCTACATTGAGTGTCTCTGTAATGATGGATTGATTGATGAAGCTCTTCTGGTTCTTGATGAACTGAAGGGAGTTGGGCACTGCCCAACATTGAGTACATGGAATTCAACTCTGTTCAGTTCGATCAAATCTGGAAAGCCTGAAATTGTTTGGAAATTGTATGAGCATATGACAGAATGCGGAGTTACTGGGGATGCCGATACGATTGGATACTTGATTTACGCATTTTGTATGGATAACAATCATTCAAGAGGTTATGAGCTTTTGAAGCAACTATTAGATACTGGGCATGTCCCTAACAATATTGTGTTCAACAAATTGATTTATGAGTCCTGCAAGAATAAGGAGTACTTTAGAATGACAGGTATTCTCTATGCTATGATGGGTAAAAATTGTTCTCCTGATGTATATACTTATCAAGAGGTTATCCATGGAGTCCGTGATGGCAATCACACACGTGGCAGGGATGTTTTTCAAATTTTCAAGTATATAAAAAGCAGGGGACATGCTCCGGATATGGTTATGTACTCAACAGTAATCCACAGTCTTGTGAAAGCCAATATGTTGCAAAAAGCTAAAGAGGTGTGGTTTGAGATGATAAAGAAGAAATTTGTTCCGAATAATTATATTTATAATGCACTGATCTATGGGTACTTGAAAATTGGTGATGCACGAGAGGCAGAAAGGCTGTATAAGGATATGCTTTATAGGGGATGTGTTGATTCCTCAGTGACATACAACATCTTGATTAGTGGTTTTTGTGAAAATAGGATGTTTATGAAAGCTTATAGATTGTTCCAACATATGCTTAGCAAGGGCATTCCTCATGATGACGTCACTTATCATTGCCTAATTAAGGGCTTCTTTGGAGGTCAAAAGGCAGCTAGTGATCTCAAGAGTTTCTACAAGATGCGCAAGCATGGGTTGCAGCCATCAATTGCCTTGTACAAGGTGTTAATCAGGAGACTATGTGAGGAAGGGTGTGTTGAGGAAGCATAGTTGTTAATGAAGGATATGGCGGGCTGTTGTCTGGTACCTGAAATATCTAATAAAAAAAGAGATCGTATTCTAAATTTGGATAACTTGGGACTTGAAGCCCAAATATAGCGGGAAATCCCATTTCAAAATTCCGCCTTCCGTCTTAAGATTTGAAATCTACCCGAAAGTCTGAAACTCAAGAACTTCTTCGTAACACAACCACAGCTCGACCTATCTAGGGTCTTGTAAGGTACATTTTTCTTTTCAAGTTTCTTCATTTTTATGAATTTTGGGCTGGAAGTTTATCAATCATAGATCATCATATTTTGGAAGGTCTTATGAATAGCATCTCATTTTTTGAATTCTTTGATCCTTCAATCTGCAAATTTGCCAAAGCAGAAGCATTTACTTTGTCTCTTCTAGTATAATGTAGTTATTCCATCTAATTGTGTTTCATTTCATTCCACGTTTCAAGATCAGGGTTCTGCCATTTGAGTATTTGACAGAATCAATATTTTTTGTTCAGCTTATATTTGCTTAAAATATACTTCGTATTTCATTTGAAAGTGAAGGTTTGTGGTTCTGATTGTGGTATATTAATCTTCCAATTGAGTTAACCTACTCGGGTCACATACTTTTGGATTTTGTGGCTGAATATTTCAAATATATCATTTAAATACTACTCCGTAATATACTCCAACCATCAATCAGAACAACTTGTTGCGTCAATCTGGGTTTTATATGTTGGCAATTGCTGTTTCCTACGATATATATATGTTTTCTCAAGTTTTTAAAGGATTTTATGTTGCAAAAATTATATTTTTCAGAGTTTTCCTAACTTTTCACTGCAAAAATTATATTTTTCAGTATTTAAAATGCTCAAACAAAAGAATTCTACTCAAGCAATCTGTCTGAAACATGAAAGCCTAATGTATAAATTGGGTACATCAGATCACTATAATAACTTAATACAACTAACAATAATAAGTAATAACTGCGTAAGGCATAAGCTATAGTAGTTACATAAAATATTTACTAGCGTGCCTATTTATTACGTAGTGCTTTATAATGGTGTCTTTAAATAACACCGTACTAGTCCTGGCAGCCATTTTGTTAAGGATGCTAATTCGTAGTGCAGGTAGAGGTAATGGACATATATTATTATTTACATAATGCTAATTTTTATGTTCTGTATGCTTTGTGTTGATACATGCAAACCTGGGAGGAAAGCAAGGAGCTACATAATCATATATATATGTCCAAGCTCTTTGCCCATCTGAATGGAACAAACCTCAATGTTAATGAAATTGTTGTATGAATTTATCAAACTAATATAAGCAATTGACTAACCGTTACTACTTTTGCGGTAGCTATAGCGGCTTTAAGGTCATCCTCTCTCTTAGCAGCTGATCAAAGTGCTCTTGGACAGACATTCTTATATGAGCATAGCTTAGTCCTTTATGTATTACTTTATATTTTTTTCGGTTGTTACCTATCCAATCCATAATACTTGGTCTAATTTTATATTTTGTGTGCTTTGTGTTAACTTTCAGGTTTGTGATTTTCAAGACCCCTTCATTCCTGAAGATGTTGACTATTTTTTAATGCCCAGCACAGCAAAGAGCTGGTGCAAATGAATGGAGGGACACAATAAGAATTAATTAATATATGTGGGATAGTGCTATAAACTAGTTTAATTCATGGAATTTTTTTAAGTTATGAACGCATTTGTATTCATGATCTTGACAATAACTTTTGTGTATTTTACACTGTTTCATGACATTTTAAATCAACACTCCCTCCCTATTATAGCCTATAGGCTATAGGGGTTTGACACGATATTTAAGAATTAAGAGAAGTAGCAAATAAATAGTGTAGATAAAGTATTGGCAATCTAGTATTCTTGAAGGGATAAGTTACCTAAAAAAGAAGGTTTAACAAAAATTAATATATCCCAAAAAACCAAGTGTAGCAAACAAAGAAATAAAAATAGGTATTCGTTTAACGATGTTGTTTTTTTATCATGTTGTAGATATTCGTTTAACAATGTTGTAAATTGAGTGCTTATTCTCGAATCTCAATCATGTTGTTTAAGGATGTGAAATTTGTGAATCCTTTGTGATACAATATTTTAGAAGGTAGGATTCATGTTAAACCAACTTGGCCATGCCTTAACTAAGCCATTGGAATCCTATATTTGTCGAATTCTTATATTGTGTCAACTTGTTCTTAACCCTTGCGCATATTAGATTTAGCATCATGATCATAGGGAAGTCCTATTACTTGTACTCTCTCTGTCCCTTAAAACTTTACAAACTTTCCTTTTTTGGATGTCCCACTAACTTTGCCACTTTCCATTTTAAGTAAAGAATTTGTGGTTCAAGTTAATTCTCTCTTCTCTGCACAAAGTTCAACCACACAATTTTTACTTTATTAATCCTCGTGCCGGTCAAACTTGGCAAAGTTTTAAAGGACAGAGGTAGTATATTTTTATGAGAGTGGAGTCCTTTGATTACTAGATCAATCTTTCGAAGTGCAAATCTCTAGTCAACTACAACACCAGATAGCATTTGGATTGCAGTGTTTTTTACGCCCATTAGGAGATAGCAACCATCAATATGAAACTATCCATTTTTCAATGCATGATTTCATCTGGACATTTTTTAACATGTCTTAAGTGCATTTTTATTTTTAAAAAATGGGGTGCTTCTCTTATTATATTAGTATCTAGGTAATATAAAAAGTGCATTTTTATTTCATCATTTTCATTTACTCCAGTGTCGCAAAGGCTCCCACCTACGGTGGGGCATATTAGTATCTAGGTAAACTTAATTTAATTTAGACAAAGAGTCTAAAATCAAATGATTTTTCAAATAAAAGAAATGTCTTATTTGTTATGATTGATCTGCCATAATTTTGGCTTCTATATTTAAAAATATTAGATTTGATTACAGGATTTTTTTTATTCTTAAACTTAAAAAATAGTATTCTAACTTAGTATATTGTTTCTACTTATGTATCCTCGAGTCTTATATAAAAAGTACTCTGTATATACTAGTAATATATAGTCTAAGAATTTATTTAGGGTTATTCAAACACACTTAGTAAATTTCCTTCCTTCCATCTTTCCTTCCTTCCTTTCTTTCACACAGATCTATTCAATGGGGAGGAATTCAAGATTTGCCCCTATTGTCGAGGACTCCTACTTCCACCGCCGGAGATTGCGATGATTATCTCCAGAAACTTTAGCCGCCATCGTTGCAGTCGGAGTTCGTGGCCATTGCCAGGTTCCTTGAGTGAAGTGAAGGGCGCCATCTGAATGCAATGAAGGGCGGCGACTGAGTGCACTTGTGTCTGATGGCTTAGTGCAGTGGAGTCTGGCGACTAAGTGTAGTGATGTCAAGCGACGTTGTGCAGGTCTAATCAGAGGCTGTCACTCCGCCGGTTGAGCGATGGCGCAGGGTAGTGAAGTTTGGTGGGCAGCGATACAAGTGCAGTGGTTGGTCGTGATAAGAAGGTCAATGAGGGCCAACATAAACATAGAAGAAAGAAAGACAACCAAAAAATCATGGTCCGACACGTGGGCTGTTAACCAAAAAATCTTATTTTTACCGAATAAAATGCCCCATTGAATTCTTTTTAAGAGTTGAGAGTCCAATGGAATGTTTTTCAAATATGAGTGCTTAATCCATATTTTCACTATAGTATGAGGCCTATTTAAAAGCGTTTGGCATACTACTAGACTAGTAGTTTTTTCTTAACTCTAGGGGGAGTGGGGAGGAGGTTGGGGGAGACTGGAGTAGTCTGGGCTGAAACTCAACCTATTGAGTTTCGAACCCGAGACCTGAAACGCTTTCTCTACTACTACACTACTAATATATCTTGGCATTGCTCAATTAGAAAAGGTATACAGTTATGATTCCCATCCAAATTCGTTTCTCGTCTGGAGCGCGCCTTCGCATCATCATCATTCAACAAAGTTACAAAACCCAAATTAGTCTCATCGTCTTGATTAGTGCTAATTACTGAGTAATAGTAATCATCATAAATAATTATACTTGATGATTCCTCTCTATCTGTCTTCTCTGCGGCTTGCCGAAATATTCAGCCACTTCTTCTCTGGGTTCTCCACGCAATCTCTCGCCATCACTCATCCGCTTGTTTATACTTCCAAGTAAGTACTCTCTCATTCTCTGGTTCTGTCTTCCCCTGCATCTCATTCGATTCAGTTCTAGATCCTCTTTTGCATATTCAACCTTGATCTTTGTCATCGAACTTCTTTTTATCGATCTGTTCTCCGGTTATTTGTGCGGAGTAGTGAGTTTAATGTACTCGAGCTCATTCGTTCTATGTATTCATGTTATGTGTGGGTTAGATCTTGACTAAGTGATCTGGAATAATCTGCTCTCTTCTTTTGGTTAACTTCCAGGCGTATGTAATTTGGACGGTAGGGATTAAAGATAATGCTCATCAGATTAGCTCGTTGGTTCGTTTGGTATAAGGGAATTTAGAGAACCCAGAATTGGATTCATACATGTTGTATTGGTCAGAAGTAGTATTAACTCAGAAATGGATTTGCACGGAAATCCACAGGGAGAGCATGGGAGGTTTGAGCAGATTCTCTCTCAGTTTCTTCTGAAAAGTTTGCATATAGTATTGGATTCGAGGGTTCCTTCAACAAGAAACCAAGCGCGAATAGGAGAAGTTAAAAAAAGTGACAAATGGTTTAATTTGGTGTTAGGAGATCGTCCTTCTGTTCTTGATAATTTGAATTTTTGGCATAGAAATTTGATGGAACCTATGAATATTGATATTGTTCTTGTTCAAGACAAGCCAGGGTCTGGTTTATCATCAACTGTTATAGAGAGGTGGATTGTTCAATATGAGAGTAAAAGGACTTCATCCTCTCAAGTTGGGGATTCTTCTTCTTACAAAAAAACATACAAGAAGCTAATTATACTTTTACGGTCCCTTTATTCAATGACAAAGCTCCTTCCAGCTTATAAGGCCTTCAGGAAACTAAGTTCTTCTCAGAGTTGTGATTTTGAACTTAATTACAAAGTCTCTTCATTTAGTGCTCCCTTTTCTAGAACAGAAGAGCAGTTGATGAAACATTATTCTTTCATTCCCGTTGATGTTCAAAACGGCTGTTTTTGTTTATCCGTGACATATCATGAGAATCTTCTCTCTGAGTTTAATCTGGAAACTTCTGCTTGTTTTCCTACTGAGATTATCACAGATTATGTTGGTAGTCCTCTTGCTGATCCTATGAGGTCATTTCCTTCCATGTCACTGGATAAGGGTGTCCTCCCTACATCGTACCCCTTAAGAAGGACACAGTCATCCACTCCGGGACCATTTCACCGGCCCCATAGTTGGACGAGTGGAGTCCACAGGGGGATTTCCTTAGCTCAGAATGACCGGCTTCGTTGGACGGCTGGGGTCCACAACGGGATTTCCTTAGCTCAGAATGAACGTTTTTTAGGATCTCCATCTCCACCCTTTTCACCACCTGCATACATCTCAGAAAGTTCCCCAGTCAATATCCCACACTCGATGAACATCCGAAATTCCAGATACACTTCTCATAATTTTTCTGACCCCAACAGGATTTTACTCCCACCTCAATCCCCTAGAAGCACGAAGCATGACTCCTTGTCTCATGAATATCCTTCTGGAATTAGGGCATTGAAGAAACCGGATGCAGCAAGGGCAGGCGAGACAATGTTCGGTAGTGCGAATCTGAGTCCGAAGGTATTAATTTTGGACCCACTTGTATACTTTCCCACATTAAGACCCAGTTTTGGATAGCTTATGTTATAAGTGGTTTCTCATTCAAGAACTTGAAGTATTTTTTGTTGTTGAGAGTACCAATCTGATGTATCTTAAATAAGCAATAAAATGTTTTTTACTGTGAAAAGAATTCACAGCAAAAGGTCTCATTCCCCATTTTCCTGTCAAATGCTTCTTTTAAAGTTAAAATAATTTTCTCTCTCTCAGTAGCACTTATTCTTTGAAAATAAAGCATATCAAATGCACTCTAGTACTGTGAATGGTATAAATTGTCATTAGAAACCTCCGTGGTCAGATTTCAAGAGATGTCAAAGATGATTCCGGACGTTTTTCTTCAAGTGATTCGCCACGTATAGGATTCTCAAGAAGTTCCAGTAGAGTATCAGTCCAGGGGGATTTGGATGACCCTGACTTTGCTTGCCCATTTGTTGTTGATGATGTTGATAGTTCCAGTTCCCTAGCCAGGTATTTTTTGCTTCAATTATTTGAATACACACACACACACTCACATGATGTTGTTCCCTTCCTCACTGCGGAGTGTAACCTCTTAGGAACTTCTGAGGCCCTTTTTAAAAAAGATGAAAGGAATATTTACCAAACCTGGGATGTATGCGAATTATTTAGCCAGCAGCTTGTTCCTAGGAAGTTATTGTACCGTCAGTCCCTCTTCCCAAACATCATCAACTATCTTTTTGCAAATGAACTAAAAAATGGTTGTTATGTTTGTTGCTACAATTAATTTTATACGGGCTGTATTGGTGGTATGGAGGGAGTATAAAACTGTAGTTTTATAGAACTCTAAAAGACATTGTAAAAACACCAGAAGTATGTGTTAAAAAAATAATGAGTTTTATTTATAATATTTTTCAAATTTATAGTTATGTCTCATGCACTGAAAATAGTACTCCCTCCGGTTTTATTTAATCTTCACACTTTGACTTCACACAAAATAAGAAAAGAAATTTGACTTTATTGTAGAGTACACTGTTGAGGCACTATTTGACACTGTTTGGCACTGTAGAGACACTGTTTGACACTGTTGAGACACTGTTTGGCACTGTTTGGCACTGTTTTGATGTAGATTTCTTTACCAAAA